CCCCGGGGCCCAGGCCTTCCACAAAAGGACTGACTGCGTTTGCACAGAGGGTGAGGTTCAAGGGTGCTTGTGGAAAGTGGAGCTCGCAGAGAACAGCACGTGGGAGGAGCGGTGGATCGACTGGGGACACAGGCTGAACTGTAGGCTGGTCAGGGAGAATCTCAGACACCGATCTCAGGAGCTGTTCTTTCAAAGGAGCCAAATTTGGTTGGATTAGTCAGGGAAGCCGTTTACGCCCAGGGCGTCAGTAATGAAGACAGCAGAGCACTCGGCCGGCAGGGAGAGGAGTTCAGGGGCAGGGAAGACAGCCAGAGCCTCTGTCCTCCCAGGGTGACTGTGGGCGAGCCCAGGGCTGCGCCCCTGGCCAGCAGTGGGAGGCTGGAGCGGAAGCTGTTGGGGGAGGCCGCCCCACCGCCCCCGAGATGGGACTGGTAACACGATCCGGCCTGGGTGGCCCGTGCCCGGAACTGCTACAGCACATTACCTAAAACGACTAGTCTCCTACCTGGACGTGCAAGGAAACAGCGCATGTGGCACAGACCCCAGGAAACAAAGGCCACAGAACTGGCAGTGTGTGAGTTAGATTGAGCAGAGGAGACTTGAAAGTGGCCGCCGTAGATACAGTCAGAGGAAAGAAAACCAGCTTCAAACAGGGAAGGGAAAGTAGTGAAGGAAGGTGCCATCACAGCGACGCAACTAACGGAACCAATGAAAAGATCAGAATTAACTAAAAAGTAAAAGAACCAAGTGGGAATTCTCGAGTTATAAAATACAGCAACCACGATGGAAGGTTCACTAGAGGGGCTCAACGGTAGCCATGAGCTGGCAGAAGATCCATGATCTTGACCTAGAGACCCACAGATCACACAACGCAAAGACAGTGACGGGAAAGGAGCAAGCAGTCTCGGAGAAACAGGGACACCCGTGTGCACCGTCGGAGCCACAGGACGGGGAGGGCAGGAGACAGAAGGGAAAGAATACGCAAAGAAACAGTGGCTGAAAATCCCCAGATTTATCAGGAAACGTCCACCGACAAGTCCAGCCGGCTCGGTGAGCTCCAGTGGGACCAATGCTATGATCCAGAGTCCGGGAAAGCCCTCCCTGGCCACGAGAGCGCCCCACGAGGCTGGCAGCTGACCCCAGGCGCAGGGACGGCATCATCCGAGTGCTCGAAGAGAACCCAACAGCCAAGACTCCTGCGTCCACCAAAACTGTCTTTCCGAATAAAGAGAGAGAACGACGTTTGCGGATACACAAAACCCGAGAGGGTTTGGTACCAGTGGACCCACCTTCCGAGAAACACTGAAGTTCCTCAGGCTCAAAGCAAGTGACCCCGACAGTAGTTCAAATCCACTCAGAACAAAAAGAAGCTTGGGGAAGACAGTTCTGTCCTGATGGGAGACCTAGGAGACTGTGTCCAGTTGACCCTCGGGCATCTCTGCGGTTGGGGCGCCCCCCCCCCCCGCTACCCTTTCCTCTGGCAGCTTCTCTAAAAGGCATGCCATCGCACAAGGTGGGCGTCTTGGCCCCGTGTCGTTGAGTTCATCGCGTTTACAGTGTGCTGTGTCTCATGGTCACACCGGGAAGGGGTGTGGGGCTGCCGTCTCCAGCAGGAAGTGAGCGAGGGCACATCCGAAGTCCGTTCTGGCCGGCCTGAGAGCGGCTGCCCAGGAGGTAACTCAAAAGTAGTGACAGATGCATCACAGGAATTAAAGTGCTACGTTAGAAGAAAACATAAAAGCAGCAGATGAGGGCTGGAGGGACCGGAAGGCCCGGGACCCTCAGCAGCGGGACCTTCCAGCCTCCCTGGCCCTGGCTGAGGTGACAGCGTGGTCCCCGTTGTGCAGAGCAGGGGTCGAGGCCCTGAGCTGGTCCGCGCCACGGCAGAGGTCTTGCTGCGGCCCCTGGAACCCATCATCCCGCAGAGGGGGGCCCCGGAGTGCGCCAGCCGCGGCCGTGCTTGTGGCCTCAAGGGCCAGCGCTGCTGTGCTCCTGGCCGCTTGTCCCTCTGGGAGCCAGGAAGGACGCCGTGCCGCCACTGCCATTTCAGGCCGCACGGAGCCTCCAGGCACGCTGATTTATTTAAAATTGACCTTTGTCAGTAAACTTGCCTTAGAGAATGTGCTCTACGTTTTGGCGACCAAGCGCGTCTCGTGATGGAGTGAGACAGGCTGCTGTTCTGCACGCACCCACACGGGGCAGCGTGCGCTTACCGCCACCTGTCCCAGCGGGGGCCCAAGTCCTCACCTCCGCAGACAGCGCCCCCCACCACCTGTGCCCCTCTGTCCCACCCCA